TGGAGGTAAAGATGCTCAATTAAAAGTCAGCACACTCCCACGTGCGAGTTAATCGATGTACCAATCGCCCTCTAAAACTGATCTACCTAATTTGTATTCAGAATATATTTAAAAAGGAGGACTACGCGTTGGGAGTTTAGGCGCATACAGTGTGCTCGCTTTTGTTACGTCACAGTTCGTTTTGTCTCAGACATCATTTGTACGCATAAGTCTGATCAGCCGTTCTGTTTGCTGAAGAGCAAAGGACACACGTTTGGGGCAGGTGAGAGAGCCAGGCTGGGGTGACTTAGCAGGCCGGCGTCTTCATTCAGTTCCCCAGTTGTAGATCTATCTGGGTATTTTGCGGCAGCAATAAGACATAGTGGGAGAATCGAGTCTACTAATTGACGTAAACAAGATCATAATATTCAGCAGATCGCCTATTTCTCTATTATAAGATTCGCTACTTGACAGACACTGTAATTCAAAAGAACGCATATGCATACGGCACGTACTGGTTTATAGTTCACATGGAATCTAAGCAAGCAAGGTTTGATGTCGAGGGATGGCCTTTAGCAAAGGAGAGCTTGTTCACAAAGTAATATAAACGAAGGCAGACCAAGTTCACACTGCTTGGCTTTCTGCGCAGAGCGAAGATAAGTCTATGTGTGAAGCAGCGCAATGAGGGTTACAAAATTTTACAAAGCCTCCCATCAGGGATAAACATATGAATATTTGCACGTACTTATCCAGATTAAAAGGCAGTGGGGGTAGCCAATACACTTACGAAGTTTTGATCCAGATCATGACGACACGATCCATGCCACCAGAAGCCAGCCATCGACCTGTCGGAGACCAACGGACGCAATTGACGCATGCTGAAGTGCAAAAAGAAATTAAAACTGATTCTGATTTAGAATTACATAATGATAGCTAGTAATTATACAGCAGGCCTAAGTACCCCATTTAGTGTCACCATCGACATTAATACTTTTTGGAAATCTTTTGTTCTTCACTTGTGAGCAAAACAAACGCAAGCATTTTTCTGCTGAAAAGCCCCCCAGAGGCCTAAAGTCTGACCATCAGAGTAGGCGTAATTAAACAAAGCGCACTGACCGACACGAAAAAGGAACAATGAAAAAGATGAGAAATGTGGCAGGCCATTGGTTTGACGGGTTACGAAAGGTCGACTGCTAAAACTAACTTAAAACGAAATTTCAAAAAAAGAGGAGACATTGGCAGTCGAACACTCCTGAAAACATTCTGAGGCTGTACCCTGATGATTATCCATCTGAAAGAGTCGCTGAGATGTGGACGACTTTTCAAGGCTAGGGTTCCGTATAAGGGCCATGTCCCACAGAATTATCAGCCCGCCACCGTCCGTCAGACCACCAGTAGCTAGTCGCTTTCCATCTGGGTGAATATCGAGGGTGTAAATTGGACGTACTAAAAAGGTTTGGAAAAGGGGGTAATTACTGCAGGTTTATAAGTAACCAAACTGGTAAAATAAATACTAGTTTTTGACTTACGGAACGGGCCGGTTTTTGACGTCTTTCCGTGCGTCACCCAATGAGGCTTAAGGAGACGCATCTCTGTAAGAAAATAACGTATGTTAAGGGGTTGTAATTGTGCGTTGTTAAAAAATCGAGGGCCAGAGAATTCAGCGAAACAAAATATCCTCCTAGGCAGTGACTTGTAAGTCATAGATACATAGATTTGTACGGTCACCGAATATCAGTAGGAGGGAAATGTAGGTGAGTTACTTTTGCATTCCCCATCTGTGCATTCGAGTTGTGGTATCAGAAAAATAGCACTTCAGCTTATTGGCGAGGCCAATTGGCATGAGCAAATGAAATGAAACAGGTAAAAAGAGCAGACAGT